GGATGGGAGGCAGAGGCCGAGACAGGCGTTCAAGGCCAGCCTGGTCTACAAGAGCTAGTTCCAGGACAGGCACCAGAAACTACAGAGAAACCCTGTCTCGAAAAGGAAAGAAGGAAGGAAGGAGGGAGGGAGGGAGGAAAGAAAAGAAAGGAAGGAAGGAGGAAAGGGGGGAGAAAACTCACTGTTTTGGTTTTTCTTATGAAGGTGATAATTTTGTTTTTCTAATTCACCAGAGGAAATACTTTGTTGCTATTTGATGTTACAGTCACAATTAAAACATCAGTTTACTAAACTAGAAGGGACAAATTTCCCCGTAATGTTTTTATTATTAAATATTAGTTTTACATATTGGGTTTCATAATGACATTTTCATACACGTGTATTTATCCCAGCACTTGGGATGCAGAGGCAGAAGGATCTCCGAGTTTGAGGCCAGCCTGGTCTACAGAGTGAGTTCTAGGATAACCAGGGCTACACAGATAATCCTGTCTCAAGGAAAACAAAAAACCAAAAATATATGGTTTTAATTGAGACAACTGGCATTTACAGACATATGTCATTATGGTTTTTGAGTACATGCATGAATAGTGGGTAATAGAATTCATTTGAAATGGTTCTACATCAAATGGGAACTGTAGAGTTTATATAATTCACAGATTCACTATGTAGATTATTCTTCATGTGGAACTGTTCTTTAAGGTTTCAGGTACGCTCACCAACATTTTTTCAGAAATGCCGGGATCAGCACTGGTACATTACTCAGCTGGAAGCTGCACAAACTGGCTATATTCAGCAAATAAACAATCTTAAAGAGGTAAGACAATTGCATCTCTTCCAATTTGCACAGCCTTTTGGCCTGCTTCTTTTTAAATTTGATTTTGGCTATCCATTTTAATGTTGTTCTCCTTTTCCTTTGAGCCTCTAGATTCTGCACTACTCGATTGTGTAGCCACATTTAGCTACATTAGCTCAATTTAATTAACATCAACTATATTATTATTCCTTATTTGTAGTAACTTTATTTCAGGGGCTTGTGTAGACACTCTAGATATGCAATATTTTTATTATGCGGTGTTGTCTTATGCAGCACTACTCTGGTTTGAGATAAACATTGTTTCAGTAACTAAGGTAATTGTCTTCTATGAGCTGTATTGGATTTAAAGATTTAAAAATAGAATTGTTGAAAGTTGCTACACTTTGAATTCTTGCTGTTTTTGAACACTATATTTAGTTAAGAATTCTTTCCTTTATGTGGAATTTGAATTGTCTTATGTTGTATGTGTGTGGGGAGGGGTGCTCTTGCCACTGTGCACATTTGGAAGTCAGCACGACTTCTGGGAGTTGATTCTCTCTCTTTCTACCATGTGGGTTCAGGGATTGAACTCAGGTAGTCAGATGTGGTGGCAAGTGTTCTTACTCACTGAGACAGCCCCTTTGTATAGACTTTGGATGGAGTGAAAGGTTTGGATTGCGAAAGTGGTAGTAGGTGAAGCACAAAAATATGAATGAATGTAGATTTCAAACTGCTGATGCTGGACATGTAGATCAGTAATTGGCAGTTAACCTCATGCTCAAAGTCCTGGGTTCTCGGCATCATCAAACAAAACAGATGAAAATCCTGCCTGTATTTTTTGTGCAGGTTGTGAACTATGTGTATAGTTTAGACTGGATATGCAGAAGACAGTTTATCTTTTTTATAGTTTTTCAGAAAGAAAACAGGAAAAAATGAAAGAAGTAAAAGAAACGGTTTTTAAAACTAGGTTTAGGAATATACAGATCTGCCTTTTCCCCAGTGTTTTGAGACAGGGTCTTAGTGTGTAGCCGTGGTTGCCCTGGAACTATGTAGACCAGGCTGACTTCAGACTCATAGATATCTGCCTGTCTCTGTCTCCTGAGTGTGGGATTAACGCTACTTAACACTATGCCCAATTCCCACTCAAGTGTCATTTTCCACAGACGACAAGTGCTTAGCCTTCTGGAGATTGCATGTGTACAGACATGTTCTCAGGCCCTTCCGTACACTAGTACTGTCGCATCCTACAGGTTGGACAAAGCTTCAGGAGCCAGCTGTTGTATGTCCCCTTAGACATCTCTTCAACTCCAACATTATGGTTTTTGGTTTTTTTTTTTTTTTTTACTTTTGACTATGAAGACCAGGCTAGAAATCATCCTGCTTCTGCTTCCCATGTGCTGAAATTGATGACATGTGTTGTCATGCTCAGCCTATATCATCTGATTTATAATGTAAACATCGTTTGCTTTGCCACTGAGTCACCTCTTACAATTAGTATTGATTTGTACCGTTCTTATTTTCAAAGAGACTGACTATTGAGCTGTCCCGAACTCAGAAATCAAGAGATTTGTCACCACCAGATAATCATCTTAGCCCCCAAAATGATGATATTCCTGAGGCACGAGCTAAGAAGGCTGGGTCATGCTCTGACATTCTTCTGGAAGGTGGTCCTACCTCAGCTTCTGTAAGAGAGATCAAGGAAGATGAAGATGAAGAGGAGAAGATTCAGAATGAAGACTATCATGTAAGAATAGATTTAGATTCTGATCTATATGGTAGGATTGTCAGCTCCAGCATATAATGTAGAGCAGACAGTTTTCTAAACATCTTGTCCACTAGTTTTCATTATTGATGGATGCATGTTCTGTATATTTCATACTTTGCAAAAGTTAATTATGGAAGATCATTATCTGAAACTGTGACACATGGTCTAGAAACAGTTTAAATTGTAGATATGTAAAAATATGTTATTTTGGGAGCTGGAGAGATGGCTCAGTGGTTAAAAGCACTTGCTGTTCTTCCAGAGGACCCAGGTTGAGTTTCCTGCAACCCACTTGCAGTTCAGAACTGCTTGTAGCTCCAGTTCTAGGGAATCCTACATCCTCATACAGACATACATGCAGGTAAAACACTAATGTACATTTAAAAAAAAAATCATAGAATGAGCAATTATTTTAAATATTTTTTCCTTTACTAACTGATAAGTACTTTATTTTTTCTGATAAGATGACTTATGATTTGGGATGCAATTTTTGCCAAGCCAAAGAATAGCTAGAATAAGAACTCACTAAGTAGATTTTGTTTGTTTTTAGTTAAGATTAGAAGGACAGAGTAGATTTTCTGTAGTTGTTACTTTTAAAATGGGAGTGTAAGCAGAGACTGCTGTTCATTTCCCAGCCACTCAGACCTGAATAATCACACAAAAACTATTATAACATTGCTTGGCCAGTAACTTAGGTGTATTCCTTCCTAACTCTTATATCTTAAATTAACCCATTTCTATTAATCTCTGTATCGCCACCAGGCTGTGGCTTACTAGAAAGGCTTCTATTGGCAGTGTCTTTCTCCTTTGGCAGCTACATGACTTCTCTCTGACTCCGCCTACTTTATATCTCTGTTCGGATTTTCCACCTGATTTTGTTCTGCTAATCCACTGGCTGAAACAGCTTTATTCTTTTACCAATGATAATAAAACATAGTCACAGCATACGGAGGGGAATCCCACATCATGGAAGACATGGGTTTTATGTTTCAATGGGCTTATGGGGAGAGATTGATGATAAGGTTAAAAGCTTTGTTCTACTAAGGAAAGAACATAGGGCTCCAACTGAAACAGTCTGCTTTGATAGGTTGAGTAAAATGAATGGCAGGATTTCTAAGACAACTAAAAGTTGGGGAAAGGGGTTTTGTTTTGTGTGGGTGGGACCAGAGATATGAAGATGAGAAAAATTGGAGGGGGGGCCTTAGGTGATAGATGATATAGATAATTGGCTATAGGCTACAAGAACATCACTACATAACAAAGAATGACCTTGGATTTCTGGTTTTCTTGTTTTCTTGCTTCCCAAGTCTGAGATCACATGAAGAAAAATTACTGGAAGTTGACTTGGAGTATGTGAATTATTCCTAGTTGAATTGATGACCTAGCTCAAATTGATAACTATGAATCAATCGTGGTACCAGTCAGTAAGGTTGTATAGCTTTTCTGTGGAATATTGAGCAGGGTAGACATAGGATTTACACTGGTAGATCTCTGGTAATGTCCTAGGTGGGATGACTAACTAAGTAGAAACATTTGGAACAAAGGTCTTGTTTGTGCTTTCTTAACATCCTAGCACTCTGGAGGCTGAGATAGGAAGATTGCATGAGTTTAAGACCAGCCTGGACTACATAGTAAGTTTTGACTCAGAATCCTAAAAAAGGAATGAGAAGAAATCTTATTTGCCTTGTTGTAGCATGAGCTCTCAGATGGAGATCTGGATCTGGATCTTGCTGGGGAAGATGAAGTAAATCAGCTCGATGGCAGCAGCTCCTCTGCGAGTTCCACAGCAACGAGCAACACAGAAGAGAATGACATTGATGAAGAGACCATGTGAGCATCCCTTGTGAACACTTTACAAAGGAATCATTTAAGCACTGTGATTTAGGCTAAGTATGGGAATGTTCAGCATTTTTTTTTCTAAAGTTACAATCTAAATATAAACTAGGCCTTCTCAGCTACGAGTTTTTATTCTTTATTTGTTTATTTAAAAAAAAAATCTTTTTATTGGACAGAAGAGATGGCTCAGTGATTAAGAGCTCTGGCTGCTCTCCCAGAGGATCTGGGTTCAATTCCCAGTGCCCACATGTCAGCTTACAGTCACCTGTAACTGCAGTCCCAGGGGCTGTGATGCTCTCTTCTGCCCTCTGTGGGCACTAGGCACTCAAATGGTACCCAGACATATATACAGAGAAAAGACTCATACATATATGTATAGTTTTTTTTTTTTTTCAAATAAAAAAGAATGTGTGCATGTGTGTGTAATATGGGCATATGGAGGTCAGAGTTCAACTTTTGTGAGTTGTCTTCTCCTTCCTCTTTGGGTCCCAGAGATGGAATCAGATTTTCAGGCTGCACAGTCAATGATTTTTGTCACTGAGTTATACCACTAGCCCAAGCCTGGGACTTCTGATCAGGCTAGGCTGGCTATTATATGCTTTTCTGATACTCTTTTATAGCCTTCTTCTTTCCTTAATGCGGGAAAGAAACCCAAAAGCCTCTGGTTTCTGAACCTAGACTGAGGCAAAGGTACAATTCTCTGTCCTGCTTTAGAAACTGGATATTGGGAGAACGTGCCTTAGCCCTTTGCTTGTCTTGTTGGCCCTGATGTCTCTGCTGGAGGAGTAAAGTGTGGTAAGCACCGTAGATCTGAGCATTTTCAGGATGCCCTCCCCCAATAGAAGCTCTTCTGAATACATGTCTGGACATAAGGGTGCAAGTCTTTTTGGCCACACATACCTGGCCCTTGGCATCAGGTTAGGTGTTGGAGACTACCCACAGAATAAGAAATGCTGCTGCTGCCTTCCCCACTCCAGCAAACTGGAAGGCGTATGTTCTTGGTTATGGTGACCTAGAGTGGAATTGCTTGGGGGCTGAAATAAGAGGGAAAGGATTAATCTTGACTTAAGTAGTATTTATGCTCACACTTTTGGGGAGTCTGTATTTTGAGACAGAGACCCACTAAGTAGTCTTGGTTGACCTAGAACTTAATCTGTGTGTAGTCCAATGTTGAAATAAGAGTGGCGGGGCTGCGTCCCCAGCACCCCGGCCGCCTGCTAGCTCATGCCCGAAATAACAACACACAAATTGTATTCTTTTAAACACTGCTTGCCCATTATATCTAGCCTCTTCTCGGCTAACTCTCGCACCTGGACTAGCCCATTTCTAATAATGTGTGTAAGCACTCCAAGGTGCGCTTACCGGGAAGATTCTAGCCTACGTCCATCCTGAGTCGGAGCTTCAT